CAGGAATTATTTGGATTTTAGCTCACTGCTTGTAACACCGCAGTACACTTTTGTCACAACACTTACATTTAGTTAAATCAGTCCTGTATATGAAATTCAGATTATAATAAAGGATTATCCTACACAGATAATCAATAGGAGCCAGAGAGACCTGCGAACAGCATTTCAATGTGGAGTCATAATTAAAATGGTGTTACATATCTGCTGCTTAAGGCTATCATCATGCTCAAGACATGACAGCCAGCACTATATTTCAGCAATATTCACTGCTATCTGAATCAGTCTAAACAAACTACACACTGAAATTCCTTTTCATATACTTGTCATTGGAAATTATCTTGCAAAAACCTATTTGCTGTGCATGATTTCTCTTGCCAAGAGAAATGTTAAAATATACCATCAAAATATTATAGCAAGTGATGGGTACTTTAGGTTTAGTTCATTTTCATGGGTATTCCAGAAGACTACTGCTACAGATGAAGCAAAGGTTTAATAGCTACTAGGCATGTACCTCTCTTCTATTATTGACTATCATCTTCCAGCAAAGTAATGACCAGAGTGATAAACCTATGAGCTACAGTCTATAGTGTGGTTTTCAGAAAACTGTGGTGCAGCAAGTTAACAGTTTAACCTGTTTCTCCAAAGGATTACTTCAACACTGTATCTTAAAAACTAAGGGCTGTTCCCTACAGTGCAGTGAGCACCACTGTTCTGTCCAGTCATATTTTGGCAGGTATTCAGACAGGACTTCCTTTTTTAAATTGTGTTTACTCACCTTTAAGTTTGTGATTGTCGTTTTATTTTTTTCCATTGAAATAATAAACTTTGCATTAAGGTCTTTCTCCCTGAAAGAAAAACAAGACTTGAGTATGTTAAATAAAACTTTATCACAATAATCCACAGTCATATTTCTACTCAATAGGTTGCTTGCCACAGTAAATTATCAAGTAAATTCATTTTTACTTCATTTTTTAATTGTTCTGACCAATGTTTATTTATTACTGTGGGATATATTTGAAGTATTTGGGCTTGCCTCCAAATCCCTTCATCTAGAAACAGAGCAGCAGCTTGGGGAAACCTGCTTCAGAAGTTTGACTCTGCAAGTCAATTAAGTGGTTTATTCTTCATTTGAAGTACTCTGATCCAAAGCCCAGTAAAGTCAATTACGTGGCTCTAAGGAACTGCAAAACAGAACACTACAAGATAAGCCTCAGCCTCTTACCACCATCCTAGTAGCAGTAGTCCCCATTTACCCATATGGCCTAGGTAACAGGGACTAAGTGTTTAAACCACAAAACCCCAGTATTTTAAAGCTCTCTTAGAAATTAGGTACCCAACATATTTTTTTGAGCTGTGATGCATCATGGCAGTGCAGGAAAGAGGCTCGTTACACAGGTTTCTTGCTTCCCAGAGCACAACAGTTCCAGGAAGAAAAAAGTCCAATTCTGCAGCAGTGTTTTCATGCACCCACATCTATTTCACATCAGTTGTTTCTGACTGTTTTCAAAACTATCATAAAAAATCATTAGCTTAGCATCTAAAATGAGCATGTATCAACCTGCTTGCTAGAGATGGGATTTCATTACAGTTAGTCGTAAGAGTAATACAGGCTGCTCTTGAATGACAACCTCAAGCATAACATCTCCTGTGTTATTAAAAACACGCACATGAAAAAAAGAGCCAGAAGAGGAAGACTGCTATATACACCACAGAAAACCTCACTCCTCAAATGCTAACAGAAACGCCTGTTCCAAAACCATCTGTCACCTGACAAGCTGGTGTGCCCAACTGGTGCAAAGGAAAACAGAGGACTTTAAAGCAATAAAGGGCTGCTTTACCATATTGCATGGTATCTCAGCGATAGCTGGATATCTGCTTGCACCAACCAAAAATGGAAAAGAAAAACTTCTTCCTAGTAACAAGAGACCAGAGTCCAGGATTTTAGTGTGACATTTGCTTCCTTGTGGTGCACTGGATCACCCAACTCTATGTTCATCAGCTGACTGTGCAGCTACCCTCTATTCACATTCAGTTTTCCAGTAGAAATTCTAAAGAAAAGCAAAAACGCATTTTAAAATCTCCATTCATGAATAAAGATCAGGCAAATAAAAGTGTTTATTTAAATATCAACACATTAAGTTATTTTCTAAGCTAATAAAAATATATAATTGTAATAATTACAGCATTAATTATACAACTGAATTTAGATCTACCATAGAAAAACATTAGAGGCATGCCTTAAGAGATGCCTCTTAGTCATTTCCATGTCATGCTCAGTAGATTTTACTAGGTCTACACTTAAGAGACTGAAATAGTAAAATACAGCTACAGGTAATAAACAGGGAAATGGAGAAGAAGTTTCCAATGGTGGTACTTTAGTAGGAAATCAATCTTAGCATCACAATAATGCAGCCTGTGGATGGCTACCATTCATCTTGCTTCCTCAACAGTCTCTACTTGTCTGTAACTATTTGCTCAGCAAAGGTGTAGTAAGTAATGTGGCCCAATTAAATGGTCTATCTTACTATGAAAATTTGTTGCAAATATAACTTGTAACCTGCTTCCTGTAGGAAGTTTGGAAGGACTCTAGGCAGGAAGAAGCTTGGGCCAGAATTATTGCTTTTTTGACTGGATTTCTTCATGCTTGAGGTATAAGAGGGGAAATAATAAAATATGTTGGTGCTTTCTTTCCCAAACCTAGCCAGCTCTCCATATGACAAAACCTAAAGCTACTGAATAATTGAAAACTGATACAAAATGTTTAAAGTCTAACACCCATATATGAACTACACAAAATTCTGAGAAGCCTACAGTCATTAATTTATGTGATAACACTAATAATAATATTATTAAACATTATTAAAGAATAAGGATTTCAAAGTGAAAAAAAAAGGCCTTGTAAAGCACTAGCCAATAAAAAAAAATCATAAATAGAATTTTGCATTTTTGTAGGGGAAGGGATAGGGAGAGGACAACCTGAAACAGGAATACTATGATCAGAATCAATATGGCAACCTGACAGAAGTGAAAAGAATTAACAGGAATCAAATGCTAAAGCTTCATTTTAATATGAGATAGCCGAGTGTAATTTATTTTACACATAAAGAATTTGAGAGGATCCCATAAAAAAACAATTGCTTGCATAATGCCAGTTATTTCCAGGCACTCATTTAATGCAGTTCAGCAGTGGCTGAGTCCCTTTCAAAAAGTTCTGATCGCAAGTTCCAGCTTAATTAAAGGTTCAGGCTATAAACAGCTGTATTGCAGTGTTGGGGACCCTTCTGAGAACCTTCAGGCCTAGGAGAACCCTACTGCAACCAGCTGCTCCTCCAGCATCCATTGGAGCCACCAGCCCTATCTCAGTCCAAAGACAAGCCACGGCCACTACCCAAAGATGCTGCCCCCGCAAACTCCATCCCCTTCATTACAAAGCAACATAAAGGGGCTGGCTGCCAAAACTAGTTCACAATTAATGCTTTGATGATTTAAGAAAGCTTGCTTCCCCTGAAAACCAATCTGTTCACACAGCAGTGTTTAGGGCCAGCCTCCAGGTTGTTCTCACTGCTGTTTCATACACCACGTGGAGTTCCAGGATCACAAGGGAAAGAAACTTATAACCCGTGATCCCGTGGCCCCAAATCAAACTACAAACAGATCAAGCAGGCAAGTTTCTTGGCACAGACACCAGGAAATACATCGGCCCAGTGCTGTTATTAACCTTCTACTATTGCTAAATTCAGCCAGTCATCTAGCAATTAAAGGCAAGGGGGCACTTTAATATAAATCAGTATTAGTACCAAGATATGCTTAAAAGAACTAGTATACTTGTCTTATAATGGGATAGCTTGATAAATGGTTTACTTGGGCAAAGTTTTAATAATTTCTCTTCATCACAAGGGGCATGTGGGTTATGAAGAACTGCCCCAAACTGAAGATGATTCAGCAGCTATATCAAAACAGCAGCTTCATGGAAGAAGCTGCAATGTAAATATGTCTATGTCGAGTTTCTTTCCCTCCTTCCCTTATATTTCCTGCTTATTTTCAGGGCAGTTTTTGCATCTCCATGGGAATCTAGTCAAAATCATACTACAGGCAGCCAAATGTTAGCAGTATCTCCAGATTTCAAGGCAACTTTCAATGACCCCTGTTCATTATGTCACTTACCCAGTCCTCCACAAGACTTTCTGAAGATCCTCCCACAGAGAGAAGGGAGGAAAGCATGGCAAAGCACTGGTACCTCAAATATAAATCAAAAAGGGAATCTTTAGAAAAATCCCTATTACAGACAGGCAAAATGCGCTTGGTGTTTTTCCAAGTTCATCTTTAAGTTCCTTCCTTTAAGGTCCTTCAATGGAACGTTCAGTTATTTAAAACAATGGCTTTTTATTAGTCCGTTCCATATTGTTCAGACACTAGGGCATTTATTATAGCTTATCCCATTAGAAAATCATGATATTATGTTTTCCATTAAATTGATACTATGGGAATCAGTTATGATTACCATAATACCTGTCAGACATGACTCTGAGAAGAGAACAGAAAGAACGAGACACATTTCATCTGGGGGGTGGGAGGGGAAAACCAAAAAGGACAGGACAGAGAGTGCAATCAGTTTCCCCAAATAGTGTTTCAAAAGGCCACTTCAGCAAACCTCCAAGGCTGCATGGACAAGGACACAGGCACTACCTGAACTGCCTGCGGAGCACCTCTTCTGTCAAAACAGAAAGAGGGTCTGTAGAATATACTCTTGGAAATCCACTCACCTGTAGACATCTAATGGAGCATCTATTGGAAAAGGATTATACTAAAGAGCAGATGTGCTATTTTGTTTTTCAACTACTCAAAAACATAGTCTGAGCACTTGTAAAAGCAACTCAACCGTGCTCAATGGCTTTTCTTTTCAGCCAAGTGCCCGCTACTACTTATGTTCACATTTTAGGCACAATGTTACAGGTTTCCTGTTTTATCACTCTGCTTGTTCACTACCCAGGTGTATTTCTGGGGTCACAAAGTGAAAGCATGAGGGTTGCTTAATGACCAGGAAAATTCAAGGCAGATTTAACTGAGTAACAAGCACAAAGTCTGTCACAGAAAGAACGTGGCTTTTTCTTCTAGCTTGGTAATATACTTTTTGCCCTGATGTCCCATTGAATTACACAGACCAAGAGCACTTTCCTTTGTTTGAGTAACTCTTAGAAGGGGAACACTCAATTCAACTGTATGCTTTAAAAAGTCAAACAAAACCCCTCCTGCCCAAGAAATTCTTTGTTACTTTCTGTAACTACAGGAAAAGTAAAGTTGGCACAATGTGAAATATCACACAATTTCTCTTTCCTACCCAGAGGTTTTTGTTTGCTTTTGTGCTTGTTTTTTTAACTTCTTCAATGCTTATCAAATCATTTTGTAGAAAGTACTTTTTTTTTAAGCATGATTCCATATCTAAGTGCAGTTAAAAACATAAATCTGATGGTCTGTATATAAAACATCTTCATTACCCTTTGGGTTAAAGTAATTTTTTCCATAAACATCAAAAACAAGTAGTTTCAATATAATGTTGGCTGAAACCTAAAATCAGAACAACTAAAGCAATCTGATTTAATCACAAGATTTTGGGAATCCACTGTGGCTTGAGTCACCAGTACTACACGATTACACTGTATAAAAAAAAAAAAAATCACGGTGCTTTAAAAGAGAGTTTTGTTGTAAAGCACACTTTGCGTGGGCATAAGGTTTTCTGTGATCAACATAATCTTAATAATTTGCTAGTGCAGACTTATAACGATACCCACGTTCCCTTTTGTGACACCGGTTTTACAAAAAGCATCGGCAAACTTTGTAAATAGTTAAATGAGAGAGTTCTGCTACTCCCAAAACTTTCTTCACAGTGCAGCTGAAACCAGAATAATAGTGACAGAGAATGCAGAAACAGGGGAAATCTTGTACATCTCATGAAACAGAAATATTCCCTTAGTTTATATACTAATACACACATACCGGTTCTTGTATGAAGGACAACCTAGATTAAATGCCTTTACCCATAAAAATATATTTTACCAACAATACTGAAAGCCAGTAGTTTAATCTACAGCAGTAAGGCTCTCTTGGAAAATTAACATACAGGTGTCCTTGTGCCGTCTTCAGTCAAATGATATCTAGCTTTTTGGGGGCAACTATGCACGCTCATGGTAACACATACTGACTGATCACTACATTAAACCTGTACCTGACCTGCTTTTTAAATTTGTATTTTTTAATAATATTATAAGTATACTTCACCTCTCAACAACTCAGATTAGGTCTAGCGGGTAGCTACATAAGCAAATTTTTAAATCATCAGCAACAGCTAACTTAAAAAAAAAAGTTACTGTATCCACACATGCCAGGCTCAACGATCACATAATAACCTGAAAAATATTTAAGCTTCAGTCAGCAGATTACCTCAACAGCAACTCTTCTGCTTTGCCTGCATAGATGGAGTGTCAGACCAGGCTCAGGAATGGTCTTACCAGTAGGAACTAGTTCTGCACAGCTAGGTTTTAAGATATCCATGCATGAAACCCCTCTTACACATTTCTGATGTCAGCCCTTAAGAAAATGTAGCAAATGCCCATCTTCAGCAGAAGCAACCTAAAACTATAACCTCAGGCACAACCAAGTTGATTTGAATGACATCCCAGAATTTTGTAACTATTATGACACTATGAAGTTTCTCTAGGACTCCTGGATTTTAGTCCATGTGATATTTTGCCTTTAATATCTTGTTTCTTCTGATTTGTTCTTTTACTCCTGCTATTCCAAGTCATAAAGACAGTACTGACTTAAGCTCTTGTGTACAGCAAAATGTGATTAAAAAAAAAAAAAAAAATCACATTGTTTCCCTGCAGTGCCTTTGTCTTTTGGGGCAGAAGGTCCTCAAATTAGAAATCCAGGGGGAAAAAAAAAAAAATTGTGCCTGACCTCATGGATCTATTAGCCCCTCAAGTAATCCACAAAGCTGTTCTTCTGTCATTCTTTTCCTCAACTAGGACACACACAAGCGTTCTGGATTGAACAACAGATGACTTCAGTTATCTAAGTACAAATATCTTTCAAATGTGTAAGCATACAGAAAAGTGATGGGTGTACTCCAGGTTCTGTACCTCGCTATTGCTTTTTATTTACAGTATAAACTCTTCAGAGAAGAGTCTTCATAAAGCAAATATTTGAAGTGTCTGAGTCTTCAACAATAAGAACTTCAGCCCATTAGCAATTAAGAGTCCAAGTGCCACGTACACCCTCTTTCTGTTAGGTAACTCTGAAAAACCCTCTCTCAGTAAATAACCCTGGCTTTCTACTTATAGCTACCGCAAAATAGAGGGCTTTGCTCTTCATTTCAGTCAGCTGTTCTTACCAACAATACCTGCCTTTCAGATACTCAGACTTCTAAGAGTCTTTGAGTCCAAGAGCTCAGTTAGGTTAAAACAGCTGAGTGCTAATCGCATTTATTTCAAAACTGGTCTTAATTTCAAATAAACAAAGCCTGAGAAACCTACAGACTCACCTTTCTCTTGCTTCGTTTCATCAGAAAAGCTACAGTACAGAGACTCATTACCTTTTTCTCTGCTGGTCTCAGGGAGTTCTCAACAAAAAGCAGAGTTTGAAAGTATTTTATTGTTCATTATTTTAGTGATATAACACACGTAGGTAACCTGGCAATGTGTTTGATAATACTGAAATAAATTAACTAGGAAACACTATTGTAAAACTAGTTTTTTAAGTTCAAAATGCTTAAGATCATAAAGTTTTGGGGATTAGAAATTGTAAGTGAGGCCAGTTTAATTACATGTGCCCACGCTGCCGCTGTGCTCCAGCCCCGCTGGCACTGGAAGGTCTTTGTTCTTCAATGCTAGGGAGGGGGACAGATGAAACAAGGTAGCGATTGTGACAAATCCTACAGGCTTGAAAAACTTCTGAAGCATTTGCATTAAGGCACTAAAAAGGACAGAAAAATAAGCACATGTAAACAGAGGCTATATGTGGGCTTCCCGATCTCTGCTGGTTTATGAAAGATTGACTGTCAGTCCCAGCCATTAACTCTTCAGTTAATGGGAACCCAGCATTTTGCTGAAACTCTTTAGAGCTCCTTCCGCAGCGATCAAGTCTGCTCCAGTTTTGCTGCTGACACAAGGATAAAGCTCTGTGTCTGGGACTCTCCCTCCCTGGCACATCTTGTTTGATACATGAAAATGGCAAGATCCCATTTTAAAAACTACACAGGACAGAGAGTAAACTGGGTATGCATAAAGCTGTGCAAAAAAACACTGCAGAGGAAGTGGGAGGCAGAACGGCGAATGCAGGAGCTACTTAAAAGTCACCCAGGTCTAGTCTCACCTTCCCATTCAAGCAAGATCATTTCCTGTAATGACTTTCTTCAAAGGAATTTGCTCTTCCCAACCACCTGGGCTTTCATTCCCCTCGGGAGACTCTTCCACAACCTGCACGATCTCTTTAGCAGTAATTCCTTAGATACAGTTTAAGCTGATCCATTATTAGCTTCATTCCATTACTGCCAAGATATTGTGAAGGAGCCATAACTAAATATTTAATTCCTCTTTTCAACATTTAAGCCCTGCAAATATTTCTAGATTTGCATCTCCTAATCTATTCCAGTAGTCATAACACATAGAGTACACATTTAGCTTGATATTTTTTGAATCAGTGATTCCTGTCATTTTTGTTGATCTTTTCCAACATAATTCAGATAATGAGATTCCAGAAATAGGACTTTACAAGGTATTGACCCAGGGGCTCGCTGGAGGAAGCGCCAACCACAGTTTCAGCATTTGGCTCTGCAATGTATTTGCAGACAAGAACTGCACTGTGTAGCACACTCCTAAATTCAAATTCATTGTTTCTAAGCAGAAAAACTTCAAAGATTAACCACAGAGGAAAAGGGCATAGAAAGAAGAGGAAAACAAGCTGCTGATGTTCAAAGACTGCGTGCTTTAGCACGGGTGAGAAACTCTAGAGAAACAAGCCACCAGAGAGTGCTGGCATTCTCTATTGCTTGCACCCCTAAGTTTCAGCTTGCTTCAGCGCTGCTGACATTTGCTATTGTGGAAAAGCCTAAGGAGAGTTCAACAAGTTTTTCTAGAATATCCTGACCTGTGGCATCCAAATTCCCAGCCACCTATCATCCTTGGTGTTGGCTTCTCTATTTGGCTTTAACATCTCATTTTAGCAAAGGCCGTACTCTCATTAGACCCCACTCCTTAACACAGCTGTCCAATACTGCATTTTACCACTCCTTAGGGAAACATGGCCAGACCATTTGAGATTTAAACTCTTCAGGAGAATGACTATTCTGCTTTACATTTGCAAAGTTCTCTTTATATTACTGAGTAAAATAACTTTGGCATTTCCCCTCCACCTCATCGCTGCTGCTTCTTCCTTTCCTATATAACCAGGCCTGAGCTATTTATCTACTACTTACTGCCCTTATGCCAAAAAAAACCTTAAAAACAAAAACCAACCATCTCCCATGCTACTACATTGATTATAAGACTTCCATCACCTCTTACTTATCCTTGCCACTGACAACCAAGACTCTTCTGTAAGCCTGCTATGCTCTTCTCTATTTTTTTTCTTTTCTAGTCCTTACGAGTTTGCACACCGACACTCTGCTGTGAGCAAGCTGTCGTTTCTACTTCATTTGCTTCAAGAGCAAGTTCTCCAGCCTTTCCTCCATTTTCAAGTGGCCTGCTTGCAGCTTTGTAACACAACTTACTACATCCCTTTCTCAAATATAGGATTCCCATAGATACAATTTAAAGGAGCATCACAATACATAGCACCTGTGCTTCCTAGTAAACACTGCTAGCCCAATTGCATGTTTATTCCAGAACTACAGATGGCCGTAACAACAGCCATAAACTACCATCGCTGAGACTTTTATCATCTTTGAAGGCATTTTAACATCATTACAAATGTTTCCGTCACAATTTATTGTTGGTACTCGTGCTCAAAGAACACACATTTGACGCATTTAACAAGTGGAGCCCTCCCTAGCTCTGGTGAGATACCATCAAAACCAGGGACCAACAGCCCCTTCAGAACAGGCCCACCTCTGTGTCCTACCCACCTCTCCTTTCCTCTCTCTCAAAGTCCTACATCTTAAACAATCGGGTAACGTGGCCATACAACGATCATTTCATTTCACCTCTAGGGAAACACAGATCATATTCTACACTTCTTTCTCACAACTGACCACGTACCAGATTTTTGTGCTCTTTCACGCCTGGCAGCCTCACTGTGCTGAGCTGCCAAGGCCAAACAAATGAAGCAGCCCACTGCTCTTAACCCCACCCCAGAACCTGGCCATCCCCACCGGGTATCGCCAAGCCATTGCCAATCATAACCCATCTATTAAGCACATCTTCACTCAGGTCAGTTAAAAGGTAGTGATTATTAATGAGAGATGAAGTGTACGTTGTCATGCTGATGCTCACCCCTCTGGTCCTCCCTGTACTAAGGGACCTGTCCTGAGGAGGTGAGCATGACCATGTTGAAGAATAAAAATTCTTACTACTGTTTGCTTCTCTTGAAGAGGTGAGAGATAATAAATAGAAAATAAAACCATTTCGGACATCAGTTCTCTTAGTATCAACTTTACATGATCCAAGAACTCAGATCAGAGTCTACACCTTTATGAACTGGTCTAACGCTAACAACAGAAGTAGCACACTGATGAAGGTCATGAGAGAGAGACAGAGAGAAAGAAAGATGCATAGTTTACTTCCAGGGAGAGAAGTGTGTCTACTCTGAACACTTTCCCAAAGGAAAAATCTGCTGGAGGTCATTAAATGGGTTCAAGGTTTTGGACACAAAATACAGCAAGGTGAAAAAGTCACATTCAGAACAGTCAGTTTATCTTGCCAACTCAGCAAAGTAGATTTTTATTGGATTCGGACTCACCCACAGGTAAATGCAAAGACAAGAGAGAGGTACGCTCACCCCAGACACACTAGAGCCTCACCTGTCCTTACAGTTCTTTCAACATATTTTTATAGTAGAGAAATTGTACATGATTGTAAATCAAATCACAAGCACCATTATTGAAACAGAAGTTCAAAGACTTAACATAAGAAATAGCAAACTCAGCTTGCTGATAAACGGCTTATCCTCATTGGTACCGTAGTTTAGAAAGTGACAGTATTGCAACACTTGGCAATATTTAAGCTCTAAGTTGTGTTTCTGCTATCACTCTGGATCCTCTTAAGAGCAACAACCAACAATCAGTGCTCATAAACAGATGCAGCAGAAATTTCACCACGCGCTTCAGAGACAAATATGATATTTAACTATGGGTGTCCTTGCTTGTAATCACTCCATCTTTTCTCACTCTACCTGTGTTTTGTCAAAACACTCCATCTTTATAAATTCATGAAAATGAAAAAACATACACAGTAACCTGTATTTTAGACACAGAGAATCATCATGAGACACCAATTCATTCCCCTCTTCCCTGCACTGGAAATTATATAGTATATTCTCCATGTATTTCTTTTGCTTCTCTTCTCAATTCTAAAAAACATAGTTAATTATAACATGCTCCCACTAAGCTCCTGCCTAAATCATGTGTAAACATTTGGAATGGAAATTAAGATTTCAGATGGCTCTTCAGTTTTCTTGTTTATCCTTTTTGCTGCTACAAAAACACCTTAGTCACATGTTCCTTGTAAAATGAAACAGCTTATTTTGTATCTCTGTCCTTTGCATTGCTACATTAATTTGAGCCACTGAGAACTCTGCTATTGATACTAAGGCTTGGATTGTGCAAGCAGTTATTTTTAAAGATATTATAACATCGGTCCTAAACTTCCCAAGGTACTCTGACTCCAGCTCTGCACACAGAGGAGTTACTTAGACTTACAAGTATAACAGAGGTATAATAATGTAAAACCAAGAGGGTCAGCCTTACGTCTAATGAAGTCACATAGAACGTATCTGTGGATTAAAGTATCAACACTGGCATGGCTTTTAATCCAAACAAATCCCAGAGTCACACAAAAGCCTTCTCTGAGCAATAAAACGTATTTTCTCTGTCTCCCCACTATCAAACATAAAAGCTGTTAATCTTCATGCAGTAATAGTGAATGTCCGTATAACCACATAAAGCACTACAGCCACTGACACGCATTTCTGCCATCCCTGTCAGTCACTTCCATTTGGAGAGCAAATCTAAGGAGTGTGTGCATGCAGGGTTAAAAATTGCTCATTTAAAACTAAATCAAATTGAAATTTCTATTTCATTATATCAGAAATAACAACAGAGCTGTGGGAAAGTCTACACATATTTAAATAAACATTTAAAAACACTGAGAGCACTGGATAAGCACGGGGAAGAAGAACTTACTGCAGTGCAAACCCACATTGTGATGTCAGTTGCATCTTCTGCAGGTTAGGACAGCATATGACCCTCATTTAGTTTGTTCAACTGGTTAAATACAATAATTAGTTTATGCAAATGCAAGAAACAGATGAAAAAGGTTAAAAATCAGAAAAAGCTCATTTTCCTCTATTACTTCCTGAATTAAAAGCCAAATAGAACAGAATCCGATGTAATAAATTGAGGGCCATAAGAATTGGTGATAGTATCTGAAAGAATCAAGTTGATATTTCCTTTATTAAATATCAAAACTTTTCTTCTTATTTAGCACACTTTAGATGGTTTTATTTACCTGACAAAAAAGTATGCAAGTGGTTTTCCTGAACACTAACTGAATCTAGTTTTCATGCAGAGAAAGCATGACATAAAATGGAAGTAAGAAAAGATTACCCCCCCACATTCTTCTTAAAAGACTCTGAACAGATGAATATAAAGCAATGTTGTTTGTTTGTTTGTTTTTTTTAACTGTGCAGATGCAGTGCATCATACAGAGAGCCAGAATTAGTTTAGGCTTAACGGGATCCCAAATATCTCACACTATGCA